GACTTGAATTACAGACAAAATTTCTGTTATATGTACAGTACATGGGATGATGTGTAACTACTGTATTTTTTGATGTCACATGTATGTTTAAAAGTTTAAGATTACCAGTCTCATGTATGTCTTCACAGCTCAATGGATTATGTATATTTTGTATATTGCTTCCGCAACCCCTAATTATATGTTGTTTCGTCTAGAGGCCTTTGGTAATCCAAGAATTACTGGTCGGTTACGATGCTAAACCTATAAGGGCGGGTTTGGGTTGCGATAGCGAAGTAAGTGCTTTCTTTACCATATCAAATGTTTCTTGGTGTTCTTGTAATCATTCAAACTTGTGATTCCCTTTTAGTAGTATCCCAAAGGAAAAAGTTATCTTAGCATGGGCTAGAATAAACCTCCTTAGGTATGACACTTTGCCTAGGACCTTCTTCAAGGCTTTTTGAGAGTGTGGTGGTGGCATCTCTATGATTGACTTGATTTTATCTCCGTCTACCTTAATCCTGCACTGGTGTACTAGGAAGCCAAGGAACTTTCATGCGGTAACTTCGAAGGCACACTTGAGAGGGTTCATCTTTAAGAAGAATTTTTGACCACCTTCTATAATTTCCACAGTAGGGGGGACTTGTATGCTTTCAGTAGAAGGGATATTATGATCTTCTTCTATATCTTCAACCTAAACAACTAGCTCAGCCTTAGCCACTGCCTCTGCCTTATTCACTGGCTCTGCCTCAGCATTTGGCTGAGCCTTAGCCTCAGCAATTGGTTTGGTCTCAACAGTTGGTTCCTTCTCAGCATCTGGGAGTATCAATTTACGGGTTCTAAGTCTGGTAACCCTTGAAATGATGGGAAGGTTGTCGTTATCGTCTAAATCTGAGGAAAGTCCAACGGGAGTTAAAGGACCTCCGGGGCCTGAAGGTTGTATGGCCGAAACAGTGCCATGTCCTGAGACTAGTAGGCCCTAAAAAGAAAAAAGACAACGTAACTATTAAAATAAAGATGAAAAGCCCAATGAGGTATAGAAGAATGCAAAATATGTTCCAATTGTGGGTACCTTCCGAAGTCTTTTCATAGTTGGCAAGGCACGAGCCTTAGCAACTGATGCTACTACCTCCTGGACTGTCCTTAGCCGAGAGCGAGTCATACGTACTATTGTACCGATAGAAGGAAGAACGACTTGCTGAGGTTGGATAGACACCGCCCTAGATGGATAAGGCTCCTCTATGGTATGCAAAGACAAAAGTTTGAAACGGCAAAATAGACTGGTCTGTTTTCCATAACCGAAAGGGAGATGAAGAGATAAGTCAGGTTATGGAATGGATTCCACTGTAGAGGCAACTGGATCACTGTTACAAGAGTTGAAAAAAAGAGTTGAGGTTGCGATGCCAAAATAGTCTATTGCAGGGGTGAAGGCACCTTCTCCCCCCAAGTGAAGACAATTCCATAAGGCCTATACCCTCCACAAGTAAGGGGGTATAATTGCGAGCAAATCGTTAGAAACTCTGATGGACGTCTGTCTGGAGTGGAGGAGCATGTGGGATACCTTGGTCCATGCCAAATTTGCCTAAGGACCGTGTCTAGTCGATAGACAACACTGGACATGCCCTCTTCATTCTACACTAGTAGAAATCTAGGGTAGATCATGGTGGCCACATGGAGAGAGTTGACTTGGACACTGTCAAGAGAAAAGTTGACATAATGAGACTCCAAGAAGTAGAAATGGACAACAGAAATGCCTGCAAAAGCCTGGGTGAAAGGGTGGAATACACAATCCTCCACACGATCAATGTAATCCATAAAAGGCCAATTAGTGCCAACACCGGACCACCTAGAGATTCGAGGGAGGCCGTTGCGTACTTATCATGTAATGGCCCGTCCCTTCGCATCTAGGATAGGCTGACCTTCTGCATCGAGAACGTCTTCAATAAAGAAAGGCTCATATTCCTTGGGAACGGGACCCATAACAGGAAACCGCTTATAAAAGAAAACGGTCAGGAATTGGGTGTGCACAAAGCTTCATACGTCATATCGGCCTATGGACCTCTTTATGTCTGAGTGAATATGGTCAAAACGAAAATACAAATTCCCCCAGAAGAGGCAAGCCAAGGGAATCTGATTGTCGCTATAGAGTTTGACGGCAAGAGGGAATACTAACGGGTTGATGCTCCCAGCAGGGTTGCTGGGAAGAACGAAAAAACAGATGAAATAACTGACAAATGCAGCCAGGTACAAGTTGCCATGGTAACTCGGGCAACTATGGAGTTGCAGTTGTCCTTTGTAATGTCACCCATGTCTGGTTACATGTCCATGAAAAACTGCTTCAACCAAGAGAAGTAGGTTGTCTCTTTGGCCTCTCTTGAAGCAATTCTACAGTCTTGGGATCATACCTAGAACTGTATTTTTGTGCTTCTCAAAAGGCACCTTGAAGAGCAGTGACAACAGTTTGCTTCGTAACGGTTAGGGATGCAGGGTCAAAAGGATAGTCTCCACGGGTACTCGGGCGTAATAGAACAGCAATATCCTCTAAAGTTGGGGTTACCTCTCCCCAAGCAAGAACAAAAGTATGGGTGTTGCGGCTCCAATGAGAAACGACCACATCTGTGTTGGTCTATACCTTGCGCATAGATAACTCCCTCGAAATCAAGATTGCATTAAAGAGTCGAACACTCCTCAAACGTTGCTCAAAGTCGTTATCCAAAATGACGTCGTCGACCCAAAGGGACTAGTTGTCTAGAGGGCCTGAGAGAAATGACCACATCTGTATTGATCTGTACCTTGCGCATAGATAACTCCCTCAAAGTTAAGATTGCATTGAAGAGACGAACACCTCTCAAATGTTGCTCGAAGTCGTTATCCAAAATGACGTCGTCGACCCAAAGGGACCAGTTGTCTAGAGGGCCTGAGTGAGTGCGGTACCGAGATGGGTTACCAGGAGGCCTTGCCAAAAAGAAGCAGGGCTTCTTCTAGAGAAGGAGCATCAAGAACAAAGGAGCCAACAGCCTTCCAAAATGGGTCGGCGAGCCCCCAAAGTATAGGGCCCTCTTCCATTTCATGCTGGGTGGAACAACCCTGTTGGCTAAGAATTTGGTGGTGGCCATGGAGAAGAATAAAGAAATGAGAAGAAGACTTTGGAAGCAGGAGGCTAGAGAGAGAAGAAGACAAGAAGATGGGTTTTGGTGGAAGTGGGGACCAGTGGACCTAGAGGGGGCCTTTTATAAAGAAATCAGAGAAAGGGTGCCAAGATGTTTCCCGAGGACCATTATGACCTATCTGTCAAACACACATTTTTAGAGTCATTATGACCCTACAGAGAGCCAACGCAACTTCTGACCCAACTGACGCAACTCTTGACCCAACTGATGTAACTCTTGACCCAACCTACGCAACTCCTGGGTTATGTGTTGACATCATGCACGCATGGGAAACAAGGGACGTGCCCCCCATGCGCTCAGGAGGCAGATGTAGAGGGTCAAAAATTAAGGCTCAAATTAAGTGTGGACCTATGCGCTGAGGTAGCCCCCTTTTAGGCGACCAAGAATGACTTAAGGAGCATTAGCTAAAGCCTAAGAGAAGTGGGCCAAAACACGTCTGATCCGCCAAAAATCTAAACAGACTCCATGAAGGAAAATGTCTAAGTGAAGCTGGAGAGGGAACACTTACAGTGTCAAGCTGCTGAGGCACTTTGCCTCAGTGCCGCCATTTTTAATATTGTAAGGGTCCAAACAGATTCCACGAAGGAAAATGCCTAAACTAGGTTGTAGAGGCAACATTTGCAGCGGTCAAGTTGCAGAGGTACTTTGTCTCAACGCCGCCATCCCATGTATTGTCGGTGCCGCCGCCATTCCATATATTGTCGGTATCACCACCATCCGAAGTTGCTGAGGGAAACAACCGCAGCAACTACAACTGCTGCAACTACAGCTACTGCAACTAACTTGCAGAGAGAACACCCTTCCAAGGTGATAGCAGCCTTTGGGAAAAGCTTCCTCTCCACAAGTAGAGGCTAATGCTTGGCGTTGATAGCAGGCCCCAAGACTTACTGGTTGGAGCTGATAGCAGGCCCAGAGATACTAGTATAACGCAGTGACCCCGCTAAGATGGGAACAAGGAAGCCTGAGCACAAGGGACTCCCTTCCCATTTACCCAGGTCATGTGCCTGCCTTGGTTGCACAGGCAAGACCATGGAAGCCCCATTGGGCTTGGTATTAAGGCATAGCATGGCTGACAGTAGGCTTGGCTGTGGCCTTCGCCTTGGGAAGCTGAGTTTGTGGTTAGGTGGCTAAAGGTGGAAGCTTTGCTGAGGTGAATACGAACATAGCCGTTAGCAGGTTAATGAAGTCCTGAGAATGCATGAACTGGCTAAATAGAACTGAGAAGGCAAGTGCAACAGCAAGGTTCACCACTACAAGTGCACTTGCTGTGATTCGAGCCGAGAAGGCAAGTGCAATGGCAAACACTCCCACCGCAACTGCACTTGCCGAGGCTCAAAAGGTAGTTGCAGCATTAAACACTCCGCTACAAGTGCACTTGCAGAGGCATCTATGCCAAACAAATAGTACACATTACATGCAGAGGGATGCCTGTCACCTCCAGCCTGGTGGCTCAAGGTAGAATATTCCATGTGATCCTTAGGGACATATGTCTTCTTTCTATTTGGCCACTTGGTGTCCTCTTGGTAACAAGGAAAAACTTATAAATAGGAACCAACTTCTCAAGGTCCAGGAGAGGATTATTGGGGATTTGGGGGAAATGTTGCCTATTTGTGCACTGTCATCTATTTCTTATTGAGCTACTTGCTCCACCCTCACCTAGCTGTTCATCCTCCAGTCATTCCACCATTGTTGGACCATTAGCATAGTTTTGTCTCTCTAATCACTACTCAAATCGAACTCTTCCCTATAGTATCTATAAAGTATATATACACAGGAAAGCACCAAAACTCCAATCTTCGCTCATGAGACAACGTACTAAATGTGCATTAATCATGGCAGACAAAAGAGAAGTACCTTATATCAATTTGTTGCACTTTCTGGACAGTTTCTTGGACACATTTTAGATCTTCATGGCTCATGCCAAGATTGGAACAGAAGCGCCTCTACAGATTAAATTGAGATAATGTCAATGGCAAGACATGAATTCAGAGAAACAACCGTGATCAACAAAAACATGGAGTGCATTCTATAATAATGAAGCAATATTAGCCAAAGAATGCGCTGTTACTTCACAAGAAGCTCACCAGATAGTCTCCCGCATCTATGGTTCCCATAGCCATTGATTCACCCATTTCCATCTTTAGTTGTTTCACAATAAACTCCATTGCCCGGCCAATTTCCTTCTTTGTGGCTCCATTTGCCACACAGCAAATTTCTAGTTGAAATTCACAGGTTCAGAAGAGCTCATGGAAGGATATAGATAAACCGTGAAACAACCATATGCTAAAAACTTTAGGTTTTACCCTTTACAGTGCGCGGCTTGCCTTCATTTCGACAAGCTATGTAAAGGCAAGCGGCCAATAAAGCAACCTGATTTCTTGTTGTGTTAGGCTTTTGATCTTCCAACCTCTTGTATATCTCACAAGCTCGATCCTTTAATGGAAAAAGTACCATCAAGGTATTTGGAGTACATACAGCAACAGTTAAATAGAAAGGAGAAGAGAACAGCAAATCAAATATGAACATGTACGAAGATAAAGAATTCACAAGAGAATCCCATATCAGTTCTTCAAGGGACAGATAAAATTGAAGTACCATTTAGGAAATCAAAGGTGGAAAAAAAAATAAGTGCGAAGTGATTTGTAGGAGTCAAAATATGCTACACTTATGCATCAATACAAATTCTATGTTTTGAAGCAAGATGCAATAATCAAGATTGACTGAAACTTACAAACATTGAATTTGTCAAAATGCTTAATAATACTGCAACCTTTTTGCATTTTGTGTTTTTGGGTGGTTGAAACATGAAATAAAATAAATAAATAGAAATCCCAAGTCTAAAAGACATGAAGAATTTGACCATGTAACATGCTGGATTGGTTAGTATATGATTGGGTAGCTCTCGCGGTGCCAACCTTGTTGGAATGGCATAGGTTTACTGTGATACTTTTTGCATTTCTCCCGCTTTATTGATGTATTTTCTCTGATTATTTGAATATTCATCGATAAAATTCTTTTTTGGCAAATCAAAAAAAAAAAAATGCTGAATTGGTGTTTCAAGACTATTAAATAATTATCCATTTTTTAGTCATGTTGAAATAAAATAAATAAATAGAAAAAATGCTGAATTGGTGTTTCAAGACTATTAAATAATTATCCATTTTTTAGTCATGTTGAAATAAAATAAATAAATAGAAATCCCTAATTTGAAAGACATATGAAGAATTTGACCATGTTAACATGTTGGATTGGTTAGCATATGATTGGGTAGCCCTCGCGGTGCCAACCTTGTTGGGATGGTGTGGATTTACTGTGATACTTTTTGTATTTTTCCCTCTTTATTGATGTATCTTCTCTGATTATTTGAATATTCATCAATAAAGTTCTTTTTTGACTAATCAAAAGTAAAAAAAAAAAAAAATGCGGAATTGGTGTCTCAAGACTGTTAAACAATTATCCCTTTTTTAGTCATGCTGCGTTAAAGGTATGTCAATATCTCCCTCGGCCAAATAGGTCCATACCATAACATGAAAGTTTCGTAATGGAAAACCAATGTACATCAATATTCCATCTAATTTTCTAATATGCATCTTACATGGAATAAAACATTTTTCATTCCTGGGAGGTTTGTTAATTGAACCATAACAAAATTGGAAAATGACCAATCAAAAAATGATATTTGAACCATACCAAATCATAAAATGACCAGCATAACAAATAATCAAGTTGCACACCTTTGTGGTTTCCGCAAGACTTAACCTGAAACGCCAAATTGGTACATTAGCTATATTATTGTGAGTTCATTCAAGCAATCTCTCAACAAAAATCATAAACATAGCCATTTCCCATAGTGGCTAGATCAGCCATGGTTTTTCAAACAAATGTCTCCATATCAAAATTCTAAGGTGCTATTTGGTAACGTTTACGATTTTTTTGTTTTGGTTTACAGAAAATGTCAAACATGATTATATTTTTTAAAAAATGATATCCACATGTTTTAAAATTTGCTTTTCAAATCAGTGAGAAGGGATAGGTAGAGGTGGTTACTGGTAGGAGGTGGTGGCCGACCAACTACCGAAGGTGGTTTATGAATTGAGGTGGTGGCTAGCGATGGTGTTTGACAAGAAGTTGTGATAATGGATGTGATTAAGGGAAATTTCATATTGTCAACTGAGATAATTCAGACTTACCTAGTTAGCTATTTATAAATTGAATCGCATATATAATCAAACAAATAAACTGCCACAAAATTGAACTGATAAGTAGAATTCAAGAAGCAAAACCTTTGCAATATTGGGACAAGTACCTTTTTGGAACAGAAGGTCTAGTCCTTTTTATAATTATGAATTTTCTCAAAAAATTAATCACAAAATAAAATGATCAATTTTGTAAGAAAACTCTACGCCTCATTTTGCTCTATAAGATATTGTGTTGTCACTTTGAATTCTTTTTTTGTATACACACATATATATTCTTATTTTATATGTCCTAAATTGTTAACCTAAGAAGGACGTACACTTCTAAGAAAGTGAGGTATCTGTGTCGTGTCTGTGTTGATCACAAACACTCTTTAGATACTTCCTGACGTGTGTTTGACACTTGTCAAAACATATCCTATTTTTAATATTTTTAAAGACTCTAACACTTAGAGGACATTAATATCTATTACTTAAACACATGTCTATCGATTAAATAAGGATCAGACTAATAATAAGCTTGAATAAAATAATTTAGGATACAATAAAAAAAAAAATCATATAAATTTTTAAAAATTAGTGTCATATTACATATTTTTATTATTTTTGAATGATATATTTATATATAGAACATAATATATATATATATATATATATTTAAATATAATTATATATTTCATGTGTGACTCACGTGTCGTATCCAATATTTTTAAAAAATTGATATGTCTATATTGTATAGCGTATTTGAGTCCATACGGTTTGTCGTTTACTAAGGCCTCGTTTGGCAAGAGGCTATTTTAGTCAATTAGTCAAAAAGTTAATAAATTAGTCAAAAACCCAACAACTCATACCAAAAAGTCAAAGATTCTCTTTTCTTTCTACTTTTTGCACAACTTTTCGTAATTAGTCAAAAAGTCATTCCAAACATACAAATTTTTTTTACTTACCTTTTTAACCAAATAGCTAAAAAATTACTAAATTAACATGTTCCAAAACGAGGGCTAAGTTACCTGGATTCAGATATCAATACACTACTAAAGAAAGGGTCTTTTGAGTCGGTTTTTTGAGTCGGCAAATTTTACCGTCGCAAAAGGTAGCCTTTTTGAGACGGCACAGATTTTTAAAAATTAGTGTCATATTACATATTTTTATTATTTTTGAATGATATATTTATATATAGAACATAATATATATATATATATATATTTTTAAATATAATTATATATTTCATGTGTGACTCACGTGTCGTATCCAATATTTTTAAAAAATTGATATGTCTATATTGTATCGCGTATTTGAGTCCATACGGTTTGTCGTTTACTAAGGCCTCGTTTGGCAAGAGGCTATTTTAGTCAATTAGTCAAAAAGTTACTAAATTAGTCAAAAACCCAACAACTCATACCAAAAAGTCAAAGATTCTCTTTTCTTTCTACTTTTTGCACAACTTTTCGTAATTAGCCAAAAAGTCATTCCAAACATACAAATTTTTTTTACTTACCTTTTTTAACCAAATAGTCAAAAAATTACTAAATTAGCATGTTCCAAAACGAGGGCTAAGCTACCTGGATTCAGATATCAATATCAAGTACCTGTGGGTATCCTAATGGCGTATCTTCCTAATCCAAAATATTAAAATATTAGAATATAAATCCAAAAGTTGGGTATTAATTGGGTGGATAACAAAAGTTGGGTATGGTACAATTACACACCTTAAAATACTAATTATGCAAATGTTCTCTATAATTTTCTCGTTTTATCATTCTAGTGTCTGTTATTTTAATTTAATTAATTTTATTCCTAAATTTTACCAATTATATCATATTAATTCAATAAATAACGGTGGTTAAGTTTGATAGATGGAAAATCAAATGATGTGTCAAGTTGATCCATAAAATTTATAAGATGTGTTAATTTGGTTCCTGTAGTTTATAGAAAAGTCAAAACATACAAGAAAGTTAAAATAACAGGGACCAAATTGACACATTCTGTAAACTATAGGGACCATATTGATATACCATTTGTTTTTTGGTCCATCAAAATTAACCGCTGTTATTTATTGGACCAATATGACACAATTCATAAAACTCAAAGGCAAAATTGATCAAATTGAAACAACAGAGACCAAAATGATAAAACGAATAAACTACAGGGACTACTGTTGTAATTTGTCCTATATATTACATATTATATAATATTTTTCGATAAAATATTATAAATTATTTTAAAAATTAAGTTAAATGAAATGAAATTAAGTGCGCATTAGTAATTATCTCTAAACAAAATGGAAAAAATACAAATTATTATTCACTGCATTAATAATTATCTCTAAAAAAATTTATTACAAGCTGACAAAATTTTTATTAGTAACCGTTGAATCCAAATTTGTTATGTATGACAAAGAACATTTAATCTAGAATTAATTATTTAAAAGTCTTATTTACAAATATTATGATAGCTTAAATCCTATCTAATATTTTTTGAATCAATAAGTTCTATTTAATAAAACTGAGAATATTATTAGTTTTTCCTAACTTTTAGAATTAAGAACATTATTAATTTTGCATAATAATATTCCAGATAATTGTTTCACTAATTGATATATGTATAGAAAAAAAAAGTTAATGAGATTAAACTTTTTTTGTCTTTTTAGTTATTAGTTTGATTTAACTATCTAATAAAATCGAGGACAATATAGTTTTTTTTTTTTTTTTTTTGCATATCAATGTTCCATCACCATGGTCCTTTATATACAAAAGAAATTTTAGTTTTGCACAAAAACATAATTCATTTTTTTTTAACTTTTTCAATAAAAAATATTCAACTTATTTGGTTTGAGTTTTCCAAATTCACTTTTCAAAAAATTGAAACTTTTTTTTGCCATGTTTTTTTTTTCATTGAATTTTTTTAATATTTTAAGCAATTTTCTTTTCTTTTCTTTTTTTTTATAAATTTTTTGATACACTTAGCATAAATACACCTAAAAAATATAATATTTGTTAAAAATCTTTAAAAATTCACTAAATACCAAAAATACAAAAATTCAATAGATTTTTCGTATTCTTATTTATTTATTGATTTTTAAAATTATTTTTTTATAAATATTTTACGTTTTAGATACATCTAAGTTAGGTGCATCTAATAAGTAAAAATTTGCTTAAAATTTTAAAAATATTAACTAAAAATAAAATAATATAAAAAACAAAAAATTGAATTTTTCAGAAAATTGAAACCATATATAGTGATTAGTTTTTTTTTTTTTTTTTTTGTGCATATATATATTTTTTGTTTTTTGAATTTGAAAGTTGATATTTTAAAAATGTAAAAATCAAAGTAAATGTTAAATCATCCCGTTCTTTTATAGATAAACATAAATTATGAACAATTATTATTTGAATGGTAATT